ATTTAATCAATCGAATGCCATCTTCTACATTGGATAACAAAGTACCACACTCTATCTTGTTCCCAAAGGACCCCATTTTCCTTGTTCCTCCCAAAGTCTTTGGTTGTACTTGTTTCGTACACGATCTTTCCCCTGGTCTTGACAAATTATCTCCACGAGCAATCAAGTGCATATTCCTTGGCTACTCTAGAGTCCAAAAAGGGTACCGTTGTTATTCACCTTCTACTCATCGTTTCTATACTTCTGCAGATGTCAGTTTCTTTGAGGATCAACCATATTTCACTTCACAAGTGGAAGTTGAATCTGTCTCTCAGGTCTTACCCATTCCTCATCTTACTCCATTGTCACCTCTCAGTCCTCCATTGTCCTATGCCAAACCACTCATTACTTATCAGCGTCGACCGCGGTCTGCACCTAATGAGGATGTCCCTAATAGTGACCATGCTGATTCACCTCCAGCTCCAGCTCCTTTACCTACTCCGGACCAACATGAGGCACCTGCTCAACCTGATCTTCCAATTGCAACCGGAAAAGGTATACGTTCCACTCGGAACCCGCATCCTATTTATAATTGTCTAAGTTATCATCGTCTATCTCCTTCCCATTATGCTTTTGTGTCTTCCATCTCTTCTGTTTCCATTCCTAAAACTGTCCAGGAAGCTCTTGCCCACCCAGGATGGCGCCGAGCTATGCTTGATGAGATGGTTGCGCTTGAAATCAATCGTACTTGGTCTCTTGTTCCCCTGCCCCATGGTAAATCTATTGTTGGTTGCCGATGGGTGTTTTACGATCAAAGTTGGTCCTGATGGACAAGTTGACCGGCTGAAAGCACGTTTGGTTGCTAACGGGTTTACTCAAGTGTTTGGATTGGATTATGGTGACACTTTTTCTCCGGTTGCAAAGATGGCTTCTGTACGTTTGTTCTTATCTATGGCAGCTATGCGCAGCTGGCCCTTACATCAGTTGGACATAAAAAATGCATTTCTTCACGGTAATTTAAAAGAAGAAGTTTACATGGAGCAACCACCTGGGTTTGTTGCTCAGGGGGAGTGTAGATATGTGTGTCGGTTGCATAAGGCCTTGTATGGTCTTAAACAGTCCCCACGAGCGTGGTTTGGCAGATTCAGTACGGCTCTCAAACAGTTTGGGATGATTCAATGCAAAGCAGACCACACCGTGTTTTATAAAAGATCTTTATCTAATCAATCTACTTACCTTGTTGTTTATGTTGATGATATTGTAATAACAGGGGATGATCATGATGGCATACAGAATCTTAAACTATACTTGTCCCAACAATTTCAAACAAAAGATTTGGGACGACTTCGTTACTTTCTTGGAATTGAGGTAGCTCAATCCAAAAGTGGCATTGCCATATCTCAAAGAAAATATGCTCTTGATATTTTGAAGAAAACCGGGATGACAGATTGTAAGCCGATCGATACTCCAATTGATCCAAATGTTCGACTTTTGCCAGATCAGGGAGAGCCTATCTCTAATCCTGAAAGATATCGACGACTTGTGGGGAAGTTAAATTATCTCACTATGACCAGATCAGACATCTCCTTTGCCGTGAGCGTGGTTAGTCAGTTCCTCAATACGCCATGTGATAGTCATTGGGATGCAGTTGTTCGAATCCTAAGATACATCAAAGGTTCACCTGGAAGAGGATTGGTTTATGCGAACCGGGGTTGTGACAATATTACTGCATATTCAGATGCGGATTGGGCCGGCTGTCCAAATGACAGGAGATCAACTTCAGGGTACTGTGTTCTCGTTGGTGGAAACCTAATCTCTTGGAAGAGCAAGAAACAGAGTGTTGTCGCTAGATCAAGTGCCGAAGCAGAGTATCGAGCCATGGCTCTCACTACTTGCGAACTTATATGGCTGAAACAGTTATTGTCCGAGTTAAAGTTTTGCAAATTGAAGCCTATGAAATTGATCTGTGATAATCAGGCAGCTTTATACATCGCTTCTAACCCTGTTTTTCATGAACGAACAAAACATATAGAAATCGATTGCCATTTTATTCGTGAAAAAGTCATTTCTGGAGAAATCTTCACATCCTTTGTCAAATCAAATGATCAGTTAGCTGATTTTCTCACTAAGTCACTTCGAGGTCCGAGGATAAGATATATTTGTGACAAGCTTGATGCATATGATATCTACGCACCAGCTTGAGGGGGAGTGTTGAGATTTGATATGATTTCCTTCGTGATTTTAGTATTTATTGTACAGATTGTATCAAATCAGGAATTAATTACTGATTGATGTGCATATGATTCTTTCCTTGTAATTATTTGCCTTATAAATAAAGACTTGCTGAGAATAGTTTCTCTTAAGCAATTTCATTCAAATCAGTAAATTCAAGTACTATATACAGGAGAAAAATGATGATATAAATACAGAATAGGGGTAACTTGAAAAACTATCTAATACCATCTATTTTTGGAAGTATATATAAAAGCTTATTATTAACAAGGAATCTTGAAAAAAAGAAGCAGATAGGGAGAAAGTGAGCTATTATATATACATACTTGGTTAAAGATTCTCCATTGAAATCCACCCCAGCCATTCCATGGCCTGATGATACTTCTGTAGGCTCAATGCAGTCATTATCATACGCATTGTATTTTCCATTATTTGGAGGTTTGGAATAGTCTTGAAATCCTCTTGTTTGGTGACTAGAGGAGCTTTCGAGCAATTCCTCGTCTGAATAAATACCTCTTTCTCAAATACTATAGCTGCCCTTACTCCTACTTACTAGTTCTGACTCACAGAGGCGGCTTGAGCATTTTGGAGGCCCCAAATGAAAAATATTTACTATGTACAAATCACTTTTAAAATCAGATAAATTGAATAAAAATCGCCTTATGAAAAAAAGCATATTCAAAGTACACGATACAATGTGTGTAATATTCAAAAGGATAAATTTTTAAATGCAAACATATGCAAAACACAAGGCAAACTTATACTTGTAAAAGTATTAAGAGACTTCAAGAACGAGACTCAGAGAGAAGAGCTGAAGAGTCTTAGTTGATTCACTAATCAAGGACCCATGTCGACAGCGGGCAGTGAGGCATATATACAGTAGCTGATTAGCGGTCTGTGTTGGACGTTGATAAGTTCGTATTTCGACACGCATTTGATGCGTGTTGAGATCAGCTTTTAATAGTTTTTTCCTAACTTTAAGGTGTCATAAATCTCAAGTTTAAGCTCAAGTCGTATTTACCGGCCGTTGGTTCGAGTTTTGGTATTTTTGGAGTCAAAATCAGGGAATTTGAGCCTGGCACCGGCGTTTGAGAAGCAATAGGGACGAGTTGAGAAGAATTTTAGAGTTGATTAGGAGCATTGGAGGTCAGTGAGGTGTTAAAGACGAAGTTTTGAAGACAAAAGAGCTTTAGAATTGGCTACGAGATCAAAAGAATACGAATAGAGCTTGAAAACAACGGTCAGGATGACGTTCTGTCAATCATTCAAGCATATCTTTTCTTAGGAACATCCAAAGAACATGATTCAAGTTTCATATGAAAGCCTATTTCAAGGGCTACAAATCATATGAAGACACCATTGTGAGAATCTGAGTGAAGCAAGGTGAAAACAGACAATGAAGTCAGATAATCTCTGTTGAGATTTCAGAATGCGACATTCCACCATTTTATTCATATATTTTGATTGGATGATTCAAATCCAGTTTTGCAAGTTGTGTTGGATAGAAGACTTCATTAGCTACAACTTTGATGAAGGAAGGATAGTCAAAATTGAACTATGAAGCTGATTTCTGCTTGCAGTTGCCACTTGGTGTATTGGCGGTCTGCGAATAATACCTAATACTAATACCGGAGTAGAATTTTTTGGAGCCCCCTTGACAGTTGAGGTCCAAGCCAGTTGCCTGGCCCAACTGCCCTCAAAGCCACCCCGCTGACTCAGACACATTAGTATCATTTGCTGCATAAGTTAAGAAGCCCTCTTTCCGTTCCACTTCTTCCTCTTCTTCTTTCTCCCTATTTCCCTCAACCACATTAAGTTCTTCCGCATCTTTTCTTTTATCCACTTCCACCAGCCAACTGTCTTCTGCCAGATCCCCGAACCGGAATAGGAAACTATCATCATCATGTTCTGTCCCCCCCCCCCCCCCCCCCCCCAAAATAAAATACCTCAGCTTTACTTTCTTTATTGAAAAAACCCCTCAAATTTCTCGTTGGATGCATTTGAAAAAATGGAAGCTAAGAAAATACAAAAGGAAAGCTAATGATAAGATTACTAGTATTTCCCTTACACAACATTCTTGAATTGAGATAAGATTCGAATTCTTGAATTGGGATGAGATTCGAATTAGTGAACTCCTTTTTGAAAGTTTCATAGTGATGTCATAAAACGACAATGTACTTGGCTTGAGAAAAATTCTCTTACTTCAGAGAAATTTAAAATATAATGTTCAAATGGGTAAATTAAATTTAAATCCCTTTCAGCTAAATTTGAATTGACACCACATTAGTCGTGACTCTTTGTAGCTGTTTTTGACAGGTGTTTCAAACCCTCGGACACCAATCAATTTTTTTAAAATAAAACTCAAATTTAAAAAAATGGAGGTAGAGTGGTAAACTTCAGAAATCTCTGTAAAGCATTAAACTTATTTGGTATATATGGAATATTTATTTTCCTCTTTTTTAAGGAAAACTCTAAAATAATTTGACAACTTTTCCCATACGATTATACGATTGGTGTTGCAGTGTTCGGTGTTCCAAAATGGCTAAATCCTAACGGTAATTTTAAAAAAATATGTGCAGTGTGCGCAGATGTACCATTACAATGTCCCACATGCACAACAAAGAAGGGCAGGCCCTTACAGGGCAACAGCTATTCTGTGTTTCAAATTCTAACATTTGATCTTTAGAAATTTAATAACTTCATTCCCTCAAATCTAAACACTATCTCATGAAAAGCGAAAGCAACGAAATGAAAAAAGATTACAGAAAGTAGAAACCATGCATCCTGAAGTAGCTCTATGCCTCTATGTTCTAACAATAAATACTTCACTTTACCTGAGAGGATGTAATGAAAAGCATAATTGATATCTCAACTGGACAACAGATTGCCTATTAGCCAAGTGCCTGTAAGCCTAACTCAAAAGAGCAACTCAATTTAGAGGGACTTCTGTGAGCAAACTCGGTAGTAGTTCACTACAATTCATGGCAAGTACGTTAGGGACGACTTTGCTCACCAAGAAGCCCCTCTGAATACCGTGTAGCGACCTCACACCTTCTCCATATAATTGTTATTATAATTCAATGTAATTCTCAACAAGTTATCCAGCAAGTTGTGCATGGTACAATCCTTTTTTTTTTAAACTCAAGCATACTGAATAATGTTCATACAATCACCACCCTCTATTAGATACTGACACCCTCTACTCGCTGCCACCGGTGGCCATCAAAAACTCACCCTCGCAGACCACGTCACCGCCCACGTACGCTTTCCCTTCCATCTTTGCAATACCAAAACGTTTCTGCAGCTTGGTAAGCGTCATTCTCATCACCAATGTATCCCCGGCAACCACTGGCTTCCGGAATCTCACTTTGTCAATCCCCGCAAAAAAGAAATTGCTTCTGGACCCTCCTACTTCAGGTTGGAGCATCACCACCCCACCTACTTGGGCCATTGCCTAACATAAAATACCAGGGGAAAAACGCATTTAGATAAAGAAAGATGTGGTTTGTGAACAGATGAGAAAATATCCAATTTATTTAAAGAGTCTAGCTGCTCCAGAATCTAGCATATTTCCTATATTTTTAGCTACTCTATGTTCATATTTATATATCTAGGATGACCAATTTCCTATTTTACTTTTTATCTATCAAATTATGAAATCTATGCTCATCTATTCAGAAACTCTCAGGAAAGAGTATGTATCTATTTCAAAAAACTTACAGAAACTTCTGAAAACTCACTAAACAGTTAGTTTTCAGTTGAGGATGTTTTTACTTGGACTGTAATTCCTCCCAGACCAGATCAGACCAGTTCAGAATAGACTTGGATAGTTATAAAAATACAAAGAAACCAGACCAAGCCAGACCAACAATTTACAGTCAATGTTTCCCATTTCCTGTTTTTTCATGTTTCCCGCATTTCTGTGCAACATAGATGCTCATTAAAGAACGCAAATACATTAACTATGTGATTATGGGTAAGCATTAAAAGTTTGGATCAAGTTGTCAGACCAATGTATTTATAAAAGAAAAGTTTTATAAGACGCCAAATCGCCAATACATTTTCTAAAACTGTGAGATTTTATAAACCTTGACAGACACAGAGTACATACAAACATATACTCCATACATAGAAAGTAGTGATGCCCATACATCTTACAATTGAAGCTGAAACTACTCCTCAAAGTAGAGCATCAAGAACTATGCATACATAAATATACACATAAGAGGAAAAGGCTCTTGACATATAAACTGAGAATGGTCATTTCAAATTTCAATCTTTCTTCACAGTGCCATCACGCTTTGGACCTAAATTTAATCAAAATTAGTTCTCTGATTTCATAGAAATAAGTATTTTTAATTGAACCGTGTTTCATATGTATGTGTGTATACTGTTATGTGTGTCTAAGGTGCAGTTCTGGTGTGAATGATGTTTCTCACAAGAAGTGAGATGTTGGTTCACACTATGATCTAATCTGGTCTTGAGTAATAAGATACCGAAGAAGTTGAAACTTAAAATCGTTAAATGCTACAACAACAACAACAACATTCAAACCTTAATCTCAAAAGAATTTGGGGTCGACTAACATGAACCGATCTATGATTTCGATCTGAAAAAAAAAATAACATAAAACTATAAGAAAAATAAAAGATAAAAAGATAAAAGAGCATAAAAAAGCTAGAAGATAAAAATAACATAAGAATATAAAAGACAAGAGAGAGGAAAAAGCTATTATCCAACTTTTGCACAATTTCTTATAGCATTCCCTTTTGGTCTTTATTGCTTGTTTCACCTCATCATTCCACCAAGACATGTCCTTTTTTACGGCAGACATCCTTTAGATTCTCTGAGTATCTCATTCGCCACTTTGTTAATGGTGAACTCCATTGATAACCACACATCATCCACATGTGTGTCATTATCAATAGATCATACATCTTCCTCCAACATTTTATGTGCAAAACTTTGTTGGAGATTCCCCTCGAGCCTGCACCACTTTATCTTTGCCTCCCCTTGTACCTTAACTCGCCTCCTCTTTTTACCTTGAAAATCAAGCACAAGCATCTTATGTTGAGTGACAGCACTCTCACCTGGGATAAACTTACAATCAGTGTAGCTAGTTCTCCAAGTCGTCCGTACTAAAAAGTAGTAAATTTGGGTACTATTAGCTCCATTTCTATAGGTGGCAAGGTGAGAGTCTCTTTTCTTGAACCAAGTGTTCATCACAACCAACTCATATGTCGAGGCAAAATCCATAATGTTATTCCCCGCTTCATTTTTAGTGCAAAAACCATGTCCGCCATGGATACTCTCAAAACCATTACGATTTGGGCCCACATGCCTGTGGAGGTCGCCTCCTACGACCAGCTTCTCTCCCCTTGGCACTCGTTTCACCAATTCCTCAAGATCCTCTCAAAATTGTTGAGTGATAGATGCATCCAATCCCACTTATGGTGCATAAGCACTTACCACATACACAATCTCATATCCTATTTTCAACCTAATGCTCATGATGTGATCGTTCTTCCTAAAGACTTCAACTACACCCTCAACATAATCATGTGCCACCATATTGCCTACTTCATTTGTGTTCCTCTCTCTCCCTGAATACCACAACTTAAAACCTCTGGGATTAATCTCGCGTGCCTTTTCTCCAACCCACTTAGTTTCTTGCATGCACATTATGCTGATATTCATCTTCTCCATAAGCTCAGCTATCTCAGATGATCTTCCCGTAGAAAAGACAACATTCCATGTCCCAAAAAGCAATCTAGCACCCTGCCTTCTCTTCTCCACACCACATTGACCCCAACCATGCCCTTTCATATTTGACACCATCCTCAAGCATTGGAGTGGCACGTCGCTTCCAGGCGACGACCTATCAGCCTTAGCATTCTTATCACCACATCCAAGCCTATGAAGTGTAGCGCGCCCTTGCTCATTTGACACCACCCCCAGGCGGAGGGATGAGGTGTCGCTTACGGGCAACGATCAAGCTGTAGCGATATTCATATTTTGATTCATGTCATGTGATGTGAGTAAGTGATATTGTTGGCCGTCACGTGCCTACCACAACACCTTCCTCCTTTTTCCTTACATTTCACTAAATATTTAAATAAATTCACAACACCACATATCACATTTAGGATGCTTTTAATTGGACTAGTTTAGTTCCTGCCCCAGACATAGACCAAACCAATTCAGACCCGACCAAAAAATTTAGTCCAATTAAAACATACTTGGACATCATTTGCAAAACCAGGGCTATTTAATTTTTAAGCATCTCTTGTTGGGTATTCTGTATAAAAAACAACAGCAGCAAAGTTTTATTTACATTTGCAATACCTTAGTTTTATTAAGATCAACACTGTTTAGGCTCAAATTCACAGACTGCAATGCAGTCTCTACTAAGTATGTAACAGTTCCAATCGCGTCTTCAGACCCTAAAAACTAAGATGAAAGGCGGGAGGGTTGGATTGCATACCTCAATCATGAGAACACCGGGCATGATTGGCCTCCCCGGGAAATGGCCGTTGAAGAACTGGTCGTTAATAGTAACATTCTTTATAGCCACGGCAGAAACTCCCGGGTTGTACTCAATCACTCTATCCACCAGCAAAAAGGGATAGCTGCGAAAAACAAAAAACAAATTATTAATAACCAACCCTATTTATTTCTATAGAAGTATTAAAATTAATCTCTTTTTGAGGAAAAAATTACCGGTGAGGCAAAATATCCATAATCTGATTGATATCCACCACAGTCGGGAATGATGGGTACCCTAGTAAAGCGAATTTCAATATAACACAGTAAAGATAGAAACTTTTGAAAAAAAATTAAAATGATGGCCATAAGTAATGCATACTCAATTCAATAGGGGTTTCAGACTTGGCGGCCGCCGGTTCATTGTCGGTGGGAGCACATTTGGAGATGAAACTAATCCGGTTTGTATTGAACCGTATCGAAAAGGGGTGTGATTTTAATGGCAGTGAGCGGTTTAGTGAGAGCGAAGGAGTACTCCCAATGCTGCTCTTGTGGGAGATTGCACATTGAGCATTTAGGGTGGACGAGAGGGATTGGGAGAGAGCGGTGGAAGCCATTGCTGATAACTCTCTCAGATTTGTGTTTGTAGAAGAAGAAAGAGAGGTGCGGTCTAAATGAATACAGATTGATGGCGGAGAGACCAATGGTCACTTCTAACTTTTCAGAGCTCAGACATACTTCATCTATTTATCCAACTTTACAAACTTTTATGTCCCGCTAACTTTGTCATTTTCCCAATAAAGAATTTGTAATTCTAATTAATTCTCTCTTCTCTATACAAATCTCAACCACACAATTTTTACTTTATTAATTCTCATACCGATCAAATTTTGCAATGTTTTAAGGGAGAGAGAGAGTATTAAACACTCCCATTGTAACTCTGCACGTAAGAAACGCCTATAAAAAATAATTAGTTTAGTTATATTTAATCAAAAATGCTATTGGCATGAGTAGTATTAATGCATATTTAGTTCTAAAACATTTAACACCTTTCCTTTTTTAAAGCAAAACAATACTCTAATTGGTCAAATTGATTTACCCTTATAATTAGTGAAAAATATGATGGTGTTTTACTGTTGTTCGTCTAAAATTTTGGTTTGTCATTGTATTGGGCAGTATCAAGCTATCCACTATCTCAATGTCAATACAAGCTTAATATATACTACTTATATTAAAGTTAGAACTAGATTTACCCATATAAGAAATTTCTAGCAATCTCCATCGATAAAGTCTCAAGCTTTCATGTGAAGTTGCATATTTCGTCGCTGTTCGTGGTGTAGATCATGCATATTTATGCTTATGTTAATAAACATATTTATTTATAATTGATTTTTGTTCAATTATAAAAAAATGAATATGTGTATAACTAAACATATTTATTTATAATTATTTTTTTGTTGGGTTGCCTCCCAATTAGCGCTCAGTTTAACGTCGTAGGCCGAACACAACGTACCTCTCACGTGTGATTGGGCTCCCAAAAATGTTTGACCAATGTTACCTTTTTGTTGAGCTCGTGCGGAGGCCGTGGAGTTGTCGGACCATTCTTTTCATTTCCGGGGTGTGTTGGAGGGTCCTTGGACCCAAATATTTGTGTCTTCTTGATGTCCATGATGTTTATGGTCTTGGGAGGAGTAAAAAGATTTGTGTTGACCTCCATGTTTTGAGTTAGAATGGATTGTGGTTTCCATACATGGAATGTTTCATCGTCTCCTCCCACTCTTAGCCTCACGGTGCCTGCTTGTACATCAATGACGGCTGCGGAAGTGGCCAAAATGATCTCTCAAGGATGACGGGAACCTCCATCTCTTCCATGTCCAAAACAAGAAAATCTACCGGAAAGTAGAATTTTCCTACATTGACAAGAACATCCTCCATGATGCTTATTAGATAGTGGATTGTTCTATCCGCTAATTGTAAGGCGATCGTTGTTGGTTGGAGTTCCCCCACACTTAACTTTTTAAATAGAGAGTAGGGCATAAGATTTATGCTAGCACCAAGGTCACAAAGAGACCTTACCTTCCTGATTTTTCCAATAGAATATGGAATAGTGAAGCTTCCGGGGTCTTTTAGTTTTGGATGAAGTTTGTTTTGAATAATGGCACTACATTCCTCCGTTAGTGCCAAAGTTGCAAATTCCTCTAACCTCTTTTTGTTGGAGATGATACCTTTAAGAAATTTTTCTTATGATGGAATCTCCACAATGACTTCTGCAAAAGGTATGTTGATGTTCAATTTCTTGAAAGTATCAAGAAATTTCTTGTATTTCTTATCATCCCCTTTCTTCTTCAATTTTTGTGGATAGGGAATGGGAGGAACATATTGAGCCATAATAGGTGGTAACGGTGTATGTATACCCTCCTCTTGCCCCTCCGATGTACTTCTCCTCTCTCGTATCTTGGGATCCTCTGTTTGCCTCTCACTCCTTATGGTAATGGCAATGACGCTCTCCCTAGGATTGATTTCCGTGGTTGCAGGGAATTTGCCTTGCTCCCTATAACTTAATTTTTGGGCAAGTTGCCCCATTTGAACTTCAAGATTCCGAATGGACGCCTTGGTATATTACTCGATGGTGTTGATGCGTTGGTTGAGCTTCATATTTTGATCTTCAAAGTGAAGGTCCAACTTGGTGAATTGAGAGTGGAGATTCCCAATGGATGCCTCCACTCTACTATGGTTCTCTTCATTTTGGGCCTTCATGCTAGCCATGCTCTTGGATATGAATGACATCATATCCTCCATGGTGGTCTCCTTAGGCTGCCCAAAATTAGGTGCTCCGGATTGGGATTGTGGTTTCCAAATGCTCCCTTGGTTCCACCTTTGTTGATTAGAGGGATTATTGTTTTCCCGGTTCTCATAAGAGTTCATGAAATTTACCTCCTCAAGATGTTAAGATAAATCACTTTCTGGGCTTTGAATGCTCTCCACATTAGCTATTTGATTGACACCTCCCGATATGGTTGAAGGGTTGTTTGGAATTTCTGCTCAATTTTTGACTCCATTTGTTCGAGCCTTTTGTTGATCTCGATTGTGATAGATATTTCATTCATCCTGACCACCTTGTAATCACCTCCTTGAAGTTGAGGATTCGAGGCAATGGATTCAATGATTCAGAGTGCCTTAGTTTCATTCTTGTTTCCAATGTAGCCCTCGGCTCGGTTGTCTACAATGGCTTGACAAGGTGCATTCAAACCATTGTAGAACGTGTCAATTTGAAGAACAAGGGGAATGCGGTGGTGTGGACATTCCCTTAGCATTGATTTGAAACACCGCCATGCGTCTTGAAAGAGCTCACCATTTTGTTGTTTGAAACTGAAAATTCGTTGTCTAAGCTCTTGAGTCATGGTGGGCGTGTAGTATTTAGACATGAAGGCATTGTAAATACCTTCCCAAGTTGTGTAGCTAGCCGGAGTTTGCTCTAAGAACCATACTCTTGCTACCCCTTTGAGAGTATAGGGGAAACATTTGAGCTTGAGATCGTCTTCGGCGAGCTTATTTCTTGGAATCCCTTGAATAAATCCCTAGAACTCCATGATAAAAATCAGTGGATTTTCCCTGAGTGCCCATGAAACTGAGGCATAGCGTTGAAGTAGCTATGCTTTAGTTCATAGTCTTCATAATCCCAACAACTCAGGCTTTGGGAATCACTTAAATGCTTTAACAGGGTTGAATATTAGTTCTTTGCCAATAATTATGAATACGATGTCGCTAATATATGCTCAACTTCGGTTATGGTAGCGAGAGCGTGGTTTTTGTTACGTGTAAGTCCCATTCCGACTTACATTCATCTACCGAAAACCCCATTGAATATCAAGACATCTGTTGGTCCCTGTTTATACAGATGATAATCTAACAACAATATATCATAAAGAGAATCACAGAATAATATGGAAATGTGATGATCTTGAAACCCTCAATGGTATACCGTGTAAACCTTTTACAGAATGATGTTTGCGCTAAGCTCAAAGGTCGAATATGAGAGTTAACACAAACCTAATCCTTACGCGCATATATATAGGCGAAGGTAGGTTTGCGTACAGGCTTTATGCCAGGTATATGGGCTTGACAAGTTTGGTCCCATATCCTTTATATCCCAATAAATATTAAGCATGAATACATAAAGGTATAATAAAGGCTAAGCTATTACAAGACGAAAGACAAACTTGATTCACAACAGAATAGTCTTCAACAATCTCCCCCTTTGCGATCAAGTGTCGTCTTGTTCTATCTCTGAGCTTTATAGTAACTTCTTCGAATCTTCAGCGCATCCTCATACAGTCTCAGTGACATTCTTTTGTCGAGTCGTTCGTTTATGGATTTGAAGATGATTAGTAGTCTGTCGTGCTCTTTTAGCTCTTCATCTGTAGCCTTGACAAGTCTTTGGTCAAGATCTTCTTTTATTGGTCGCAGCTTGTTCTCAATGATCTTCAATGTTCCATCGCAGTATTTGTGAATCTCACTAGTAACCATCAGGCGCTTTTGTTGTTTGTGATTTAGATATACCACTGCAGGCGGAGTTTTAAAAATATGATAAGCATTGAACGCTTCGAGCTCCAGTCTGTACAGTAAAGGTCTTGCTAGGTTTGCCTTAGTGATATTGTTTTCAATGGCCATTTGGAGATCATGAACTGCGTGAAATCGGACTTGTCTAAGCATGAATCTCTTGATTACACCGAAGCCTTCTCTGCAGACTCTGTCATGGCTGATTGGAAGATATCTGCAAGCCATGAACATCTGATAGACGTCGTCCATTTTGAGCATCATAAGATCATTTTCTTGGCAGATAAGTTCACTTGAGTCTGTGCGCCGAACCTTGAAACTGTAGAATTTGATGGTGTGATGGTCCTCTTCTTGCACTTTTAAGATCTCATAGATTGGATGTATGCTTGTCCGTAGATCCTTCTCCAAGACTTCTCGTTGTTTGCCACTGGATCTATGACTAAGCATATGTAGATGTCCGTCTACTTGTTTTCCCATAAGATGTGTGAGTCTTCGAAGTTTCAGCTCGTCTAGTTGCTTCACTTTTTCCGGTTTGCGCCATATTTGCTTTCTGAGTTCCTCTTGGAAGGGGGCATTTATCCGCACGTTTTCCCAGGGCTTCTCCTTTTTGAGCATTTGAGTCGCTGATTGTCTAACTGTAGATTCAAGCACCTTGGAAGTTTTCTGGTGATCCTCTCCATCTTTGAGTTCCTCTTCATCAAGCCTTATGATGTCAGCAACACACTTTGCAATCAGTTCTCGAATGTACCAACGTCGTTGCATTTCATATTGTTCTTCTTCTTATCTTATTTCGTCCCACTCTGTCCATTTACGGGGTCGTTTGTCATGTATAACGAGTTCTTCTAGTTCATCGTGAATATCTATGGACGGAGAGGTAGGAGATACTGTTGCTGCCGCTACTTGCACCTTGTCATTGGAAGTAAGACCGGGTTCACTCGGATTGCTCATTGACATCAGTTTCGAACTGGGTTCTGACCGATGGCCTGATTGTAAGGATGTACCTGAGGTAACATCATAAGGACTTACATCCCCTCGTCGGTCAGTATCTCTTGGAGATAAGCCTCGGGATGTTGTGTCTAGCTTGATCGAGCTAGATAGGTTGGCTTGATTTTGGTTTTGGTGGGGGCAGGTGGTTGTTGGTTGGTTGAGGATTCGGGTTGGTCAGGCT